TTTCCTTAATTCTATGGCTAAATTAAGGACCATGTGATAGATAGTTCTTTGATCCTCTATGAGCCTACCCTCTGCTTTGATAAAGAGATTGTGAGTCGTTGTTTTATTTTAAAATTAATTTATTAATATTCACATATACAGAATTTAAAGGTTGATAATAAAGGATCTAAAATAGTTTTTCTAAAATGTTCATTCTTTATGACTTTTATTTTTTTTTACAGTTTCTATTACTAAATCTACAGCAGTTATTTTTCCAAATTAAAAGTCATGGAAACCTCTTTAACTATGGGATAACACTGTTTAGTAGTAACAGTACTCAGCATTGATGCCCAAGAGTTTGAAAAATAAAGTTATAAAATTTATCAATAATGTGATTAAACATTAAAAATTTTACCTAAAATGTATTTGTCAGATCATTGTGCTTTACTTCAGTTAGAGAATTTACATTTTACTTATGTAATTTTTAATAACAAAATCCTATTTGGTTATAAATAAAATTTTGTATAGACAAATGCTTTCGGTTGTATTCAGAGGTGTTGTATGTGGGATGATGGATGGTGTACAACAGATTGTATAAAGATCCATTTTTACTAGTTACAACATTGTATCTAACTAACCAGTTATCAGAGAAAACTGACTTGTAAACTGAGACTTTAAAGAATGACCAAAGAGAGAAAGGAGGAGGAAGGGATGGGAGGAAGTGGGAGTTCATGAGAAAGACAAAGAGATGTAAATAGTCCCTTGCCTAGCTGTGTAGTCTGTTCTCTAATATACAGCTGTATTCTTAAGAAACTCAGTTACCAAAAATCATATTACCACACCTATTAATTTGATATGGATAAAAAGGATTAATAACTTAAGAATAGCAATCTCAATTTTCCTATGGCAATTTCTATAGTAAAGAAATCTTAATAGCTGCTTAGAATGTAAACCTCATATAAACCTAAACAGTTGTTATTGTGTAGTCACTAAATAAAGTTTTGACTGTGGGGTTAGTGAATCAGTAGGAATGCTTTTAGCACCAAATAATAGAAAGCCCTATAACAGTGGGTTAAACAAATAGAGTTTCTTTCCCGCCATCACCCCATCTCTTTCCCTGCCACACACAAGGAAACTAGAGTTAGGCAGTTACTGTTGAAAGTTGAGTGGCTCAGGGATGGCTATCTGTGAGATTCTCTTAATCTTTTTCTTCATTGTTGCACAGTGGATGTTACAGCTGTAACTGTTCAGATAGTAAAGAGGTAGCATTTGTTTCAAAAAACAAAACTTATCCCACAACAAACTTCTGCTTATCTCATTGACCAGAATTTTACCATGTATCTATTTTTGGCCAGAAGGTGGCTAGGAAGAACTGGATTGAGAATGGAGGTTGGGTCAGCCAACCAACAGTATCAGACAAAATCAGATTGATTAAAAAAATTTTTTTGATTGAACTATAGTTGATTTACAGTGTTAGTTTCAGATGTAGAGCACAGTGATTCAGTTATATATATATATATATATATATATATATATATTCTTTTTCAGATTCTTTTCCCTTAATAGATTATTATAAAATATTGAGTGTAGTTCCCTGTGCTATACAGTAGGTCCTTGTTGTTTATGTATTTTATATATAGTAGTGTGTATATGTTAATCCCAAACTCCTAATTTATCCCTCCCCATCCTTTCCCCTTTGGTAACCATAAGTTTGTTTTCTATGTCTGTGGGTCTATTTCTGTTTTGTAAATAAGTTCATTTGTATCATTTTTTTTTTTAAGATTCCACATATAAGGGATAACATATGTTATTTGTCTTTGTCTGGCTTACTTCACTTTATGATAATCTCTAGGTCTGTCCATGTTGTTGCAAATGGCATTATTTCATTCTTTATTATGGATGTGTAATATTTCATTACATATATATATATACACACACATACACGCACGCGCACGCGCACACACACACACACACCTTCTTTATCCATTCATCTGTCGATGGACATTGAGGTTGCTTCCGTGTCTTGTCTATTGTAAATAGTGCTGCTGTGAACACTGAGGTGCATGTATCTTTTCAAATTATAGTTTTCTCCGAATGTATGCCCAGGAGTGGGATTTCTAGATCATATGGTAACTCTATTTTTATTTTTTGTAATGAACCACATACTGTTCTCTGTAGTGGCTGTACCAATTTACATTCCCACCAACATTCCTTTTTCTCCATACCCTCTCTAGCATTTATTATTTGTAGACTTTTTGATGTTGGCCATTCTGACTAGTGTGAGGTGATACCTCATTGCAGTTTTGATTTGTATTTCTCTAGTAATTAGAGATGTTGAGCATTTTTTCATGTGCCTGTTGGCCATCTGTATGTCTTCTTTGGAGAAATGTCTATTTAGATCTTCTGTGCAGTTTTTGGTTGGGTTGTTTGGTTTTTTATGTTGAGCTGTATGAGCTGTTTGGAAATTAACCCCTTGTTGGTCTCATTGTTTGTAAATATTTTTTCCCTTTCTGTAGATTGTCTTTTTGTTTTGTTTATGGTTTCCTTTGCTGTGCAAAGCTTTTACGTTTCATTAGGTCCCATTTGTTTATTTTTGTTTGTATTTCCATTACTGTAGGAGATTGATCCAAAAAAGATACTGCTGTGATTTATGTCAAAGAGTGTGCTGCCTATGTTTTCTTTCAGGAGTTTTACAGTATCCGGTCTTAAATTTAGGTTCTTTTACATATAGCCGTCCAGTTTTCCCAGCACCACTTATTGAAGAGACTGTCTTTTTTCTCCATTGTATATTCTTGCCTCCTTTGCAGATTGACTGATTTTTAATCTAAGCTCTGCCGTTTTTTAGCTGTGTAACTGTAGTAAGTTATGTAGCCTTTCTAAGCTAGAATTTTTAAAATGAGGATGAAGAGGATGATTATTGTTATTAAAATACTACTCCTGTTCCTCCTACTCCTATTAAAATGAGATAATACGCATAAAAATCTGAGTAATTTGTCAGACAAGGGAGTTAGTACTCACAGGATATTAATTATATCATCTTTTATGTTACCACCAGCTTCATTCTTTTATTTTATTGAGGTAAAATTCACATAGCATAAAACTAACCATTTTAAAGTGTACAATTAAGTGTCATTTAGTACATTCACAATGTTGTACAGCCATCACTTCTAGTTATTTCATTACCCCATAAGAAAACCTGGCACCAATTAAGCAGTTTCTCCTTTCACCCTTAACCCAGCTCCTGGCAACCAGTAATCTGCTTTCTGCCTCTATGAATTTACCTGCTTTCTGCGTCTATGAATTTACCTGAATATTTTATGTAAATAGAGTCATAACAATATATGGACTTTTGCATTTGACCTCTTTCACTTAACATGTTTTTGAGGTTTATCTATGTTGTAGCATGTATCAGTACTGCATTCCTTTTCATGGCTAAATAATATTTCATTGTGCAGACATACTCTCTTTTTGTTTGTCCTTTCATCAGTTGATGGACATTTGGGTTGTATATATCTTTTGGCCATTGTGAATAGTTCTGCTCGAAACATTCATGTACAGGTGTTTGTTTGAATACCTTTTTCATTTATTTTTATTATATAACTAACTAGGAGTAGAACTTTTGGGTCATGTAGTAATTCTATGTTTAACTTTTTGAGGAACCACCAAACTGTGTTCCACATTGTCTGCACCATGTATAAGAGTTCTGGTTTCCTCACATCCTTGCCAACACTTGTTATTTTGTTTTTTTTGGTTATAGCCATCCTAGTGTGTGTGAAGTTATATTTCATTGTGGTTTTGATTTGCATTTTCCTGATGACTAATGATGTTGAACACCTTTTCATGTGCCTGATGGCCATTTGTTTATCTTCTTTGGAGAAAGGGCTATTGAGGTCCTTTGCCCATTTTTAAATTAGGTTGTCTGTCTTTTTCTTGTTGTACAAATTCCTTATATATTCTAGGTACTAAACCCTCATCAGATACATTTCTGCAAGTATTTTCTCCCACTCTATAGGTTGTCTTTTCACTTTCTTGATAGTGTCCTTTGATGCACAAAACTTTAATTTTGATGAAGTCCAGTTTATTTTATATTTTGTTGCTTGTACTTTGGAGTCATATCTAAGAATCCATTGCCAAATCCAGAGTCATGAAGATATACCCCTATTTTCATCTTAAGAGTTTTATAGTTTTACCTCTTACTTTTATGTCTTAGGTTTGACTGTATTGGTTCGATTTTTGGATCACTTTTGATACATTTTGAGTTAATTTTTGTGTATGGTACAAAGTGGGACCACCAACTTCTTTCTATTCTCCTTTATCATGAGTATTACCCATTATTGTGAAGCATGAAGCCACTCCAACATGTAACATGAGTTGTTTTCTAAATAGCTTTTTCCCGATGTATTTGACAAGCAGTAGTTTCCTTCTTAATTTTTATTATTGAAGACAGCCTGCATAATGTAAAATGTGTTCCCTAATGAACTGACGCCATTTTATCCTGTGTATAATAGCAAAACTTGAGCTATATTAGATATATCTATGGTAGGTCTGAGTTTTTTAATTTATAAAATTGGCAGGGGTGAATAGTAAATCTGTTTTTTTCTAGGTTTAAAATTTTACCACTGATTTTGAACATTGAATTTATTATTGAAGTGTAGTCAGTGAGAATATGTAATTGTTACTTTTGCATTCTAATTTTGTTTTATTTCATTATTCATAGTCTGTTATATCTTACTGAATGTCATTCCTTGATTAGAAGTTATCTCACTAGTCCTTTTTTCCCTCCTTCATCTACATTGTTGAGAATGATGTAGTTTCCTGGGAGAAAGTGGTGATGTTATGGTAGCTTGACTGTTGCATACTATCCTTTAGCATAAAAAATAAAAATAAAAAAATCTGCCAGTGTAGGATGGACAGGATGAACACACGTTCTTGAGTTAACTGGCCAAAATTTTAACTATTCGTGTTGTCTAGCGATTTGTTTTAAATGGAGGAGGATATAATTTGGTTGTTCCTTTTTGTAGTACTTGATTCTGAAGCTTGAAAGGCCTGCTATAGTCCAGAATATCACGTTTGGAAAATATGAGAAAACTCATGTCTGCAATTTGAAGAAATTTAAAGTCTTTGGTGGAATGAATGAAGAAAACATGACAGAGCTATTGTCCAGGTGGGTTATGATTATGGGGAGGAAAGAGTTTCTAAACAATCTGGCAGTCTTAGTTTAGTCTCTTTGTAGCTAAATCTGCATGGTTTGTTTTTTCTTGCAAAGGAGAAAAGAGTATTTCTACTATTTTATTTCTAGTGCCTTATTTTAATATTGTGCTTTAGTTAGCTTTTTCCCACCAGATACTAATTAATATTATTACCAAAGCAGAAAGAATAAAATTTGGGGGTTTTTTTCTACTTCTTGTTTTTCAGTCTTATTTTTGAATTGTTAATGACTTCACATATACTTCTCAGCTATAATAAAAATCTTTGCTGTAATCCTTGATGTAAAAATATAGAATCTGTCCAGAACATTAAGATTGAGTGCCCTAATCTGGAAGTAATATTCTGGGAGTTTAGTATAAATTGGAAACTAAACAGAGTAAAAGTATGTGACTGCACCTACTGCAGTGCCTACCTCTTGGAAGGAGCTCAGTAAATTTGAGTTTTGACAACATAGATCACCAGGAATGAATGTTAATTTGCCCTCTAGATGATGAAAAATGGGATAGAAGATGGAGTGGACAAATAAAGCCATGCAGTTTTAGAATATATTTGTGACATGGTGTGTCCCTTTACCACAATATTTTATATAAGTATGTATTACACCTAGACTACATTTGATTTAAGTCATGAAAGTATATCAGAATATAAGGCAACCTGACGGTTAGTGACTTTCCCATAAATACTTGAGTCAGCCCAAGTTGTTTAAGTAGAGAAGTGATACGGGTTTATTTTTATGTAGGATAAAGCAGATGCTATTAAACCAACAGAGCAAGGTTGTCTTTGAAAATTTATTCAGCTATAAAAGGAACATTGGCATCTTAGAATTTAATAACTTAATTCTTTGACAGATTCTAATATTTGGCTCTAAGTTGTAAGATATGAATATGAATTGTTTTTAAATTTTCTTCTTACTGCTTGAATATTTTATATTGTATTTAGTTATACATTAGGGACACTAGGTCTTGTCACACATTTTCATGTATTGTAGTCACATTCTTTAATTAACACAACATTTTTTCATTAGCCCTCATTTAATTAAGAGAATACAGTATAGTGCAGTTGATATGAATGTACAAGTTTTGTCCTATATTCTCATGTTCAACTACTTCGTTACATTGTCCCTGTCATATATTCTGAGCATTCGTTGACCTTAAAATCAGAGTATGATATTAATCTGTTTTAGTGCATTTACTAAATTATGAAATCAGATTTGATAACGTTATTTTTTTTCACAGTGGCTTAAAGAATGATTATAACAAAGAAACATTTACCTTGAAGCATAAAATTGATGAACAGATGTTTCCTTGTCGATTCATTAAAATAGGTAAGGTTTTCAGCATTCTGGAGTAGAAATAAATTCTTTATACCATCAGTCATCAAACTAAACTACAGCCTGTGGGCCAAATCCTGCAGGTTCCCTGTTTTTATTTTAAAATAAAATTTTATGGCAACATTGCCATGCCACTTGTTCACATAGTGTCTTTGTCTGCTTTTGCACTACATGGCAAAGTTGAGTAGTTGCAAGAGACCACCTAGCCCACAAAGTCCAAAATGTTTACTGTTTGGCTGACCCCCTACTTTATAAATCTGTAACTAAGTGACAGTTATTTCAAATGGAACCTTTTCTGCTTTCTCATTTGAAAGTTTCTTAGAACCTTTTCTAAATACTTTCTCATTTTATGAGATATATGGATTTGATTGCCTTGATTGTTTTATGGAAGGTTTATCAGTTCTGAAGTTATATCGTTCTAAAACCAAATATTGCCGTATTCCTTAAGGCCATATATTATGGTTATTTTCTATTCTTTTCTTTTATATTTCATTTTTTGTGTGTGTGATAATGTTGGTCAAACTCATAAAACTAATTTCATAACCCATTAATAAGTTTCAAAGTAATGTTTGAAAAATGCTACCTAAGCATTTATTGTGTTTATTTAGCAAGTGTTTTTGGTTAAGAAAGTATGTGTAATGCCTCCTCAAAACTAGTGTTTTTAGGATTATTTTGTTTATCTATAAGATGGATTAGTTAGAAGGTAGGAAGGTTGAGGACTTGACTTTTTTAGTTTCCATCTATATTTCATACCTTTGAAAATATTATGTTAAAATTGAGATTAAGGTGAGTCATATCCCTTTAAGAATGATAATAAAGGCCAGAATCCCATGTTTTGATTTGGGAGAAAATTCCTCTTTTGGAAGGACCAGCTCCATAGTCATTGTTTCCCAGTCTATCAAGAGTTGGCCTGTTCATTTCATTGAGTCAAATAGTTCCATTAGACGAAAAGAATATCTGAGATCTATAAAGACTACTTATAGAGGGGAAACTATTTTGAGAATCATTGGGCTGTTTGGTGTATTACTTTCTTTTATAAATATAGTTTTTGTTATAATTAATTGTAAATAAAAAACCTGTATCCTGTTTACCTATGAGAATTTAGGAACAAGCAGATTTTTAAAATAAATTCTTGATTGTTTCTTCTTTCATGCTAATGAGTAATTCTTTCCTCAGTATGCAGACCACCCATTTCTTATAGATTCTTGCATAGCTTGAACAATTCTATGATCTTACATTCCAAATGTAGAAGCAGTGAAAATATCTTATATTTTCATGTAGTAAATTTAGATTTTATAATTTTGAAGTACTTATTCAACCTCTAATTGCTTAGTCATGCAAAATGAAATGTTCTCTTTTTGGCTTTTTTTTTCATTAGAACTATGAATAAAAGTCTGTTTAAGGATTTTGAATAGTTTCTTCCCTTAAAAAATTTATAGGACAACAGAGGTCTCTTATGCATCAGTTAGACATTCAGATGCCTGAAAACAAGAAGTTGGACCTCTTTCCAGCCCTTTCTATCAGCCTTCTAGTTGTAGGGCATGATGATGTGTTTGACTTGACCCTGGTGGGTTAGTTTTATGGTATTCAGGCAAAATGTTAACTAGAGCTTTCCAAATAATTGAAGACACTTATTAACTCATTTGATATTTAGGGTATTAATATTTATATAAGTTCATATTTCTCACTTTTCTGTTAAAAAATGTTAATAGTGGTCTGCATTGTTTTTGCTTTTCAACCTTTTCCCCACATTCTCTTGATAAGTTTTGTTTTTTTAAAATAATATAAGGAAAATGTGAAACTTAAAGCCTGTGTTAGGCTTTTTTTAGCTTGATGTTTTTAAACTAGTTTTTTTAGTTTGATGTTTTCTTTAAAAATAATTTCGATAAAACACTTAAGTGATGTGTAGCTTTCTTTTGGTGGTGATTCACACAGATACTTGTTTACCTGGCTGGGATAAATTGCTGGAATTCTTAAAAGAAAAAATGTGTTTGAATACTTCACATTTATGTTGTATAATGATATGTTTGAAAGATCTTGCTTTATTTAAAAAAAAAAGTTTATTCTTAAACAACACAATTTCTAAATACAGTCAGCCTTCAGTTATTCATAGTAATGGAGGGGAACAGAAGCAAGGCTTAACTCAATGGCAGATAATCTCCAAATCATGCACTGACATCTAAATATGATAATTTGCATTTATAAAGAGTATAGCTTATTCATTAAATTTGGCTTAGACCCAATTTAAGTAAGTTTGTTTACAAATTAATAAGGAAAGTAAGCCTTCATTTTTACTGCATGGCAGGGGTTAGGTTTTTAAGATCTGTTGTAGATAATCCACAGTGCCAGCATAGCTGAACTGACCTTTAAGTAAATTTTACTTTCCTTTCTTAAGTTACCTTTTGTATAAAATGAGTATGATAATACTTTCTCTGTCTAATGATAGGATAGGTAGCTATATTGGACACTTTCTTGAGTTCTTTTGTAGTTTGTGGATGAGTGGTAGTCTTATAAATTTTAATTTAAGATCATATTTATGGAGGAAATATTTTCATTTTGAATGTCTCTTTTTTATATATTTATATTCATAGAGCTCTTGATTACATGCCTTCTTACATGTAGTATTTTAAGTACTATAGAAAAAATACATGCACAAATATAATTTGAACCATCATGTCATTTCAGCAATCATTATTTAGAACTTCTTATATGTTTTTATTGTTTTTGCGTTTGTAAGTGCTTTCACATGTGGTATCTCATTTGAGCACTATACTGGAAGATAAAAATCTTTCCTTTTTTGGTTAAGGAAAATGAGAGTAGAAGTCAAATGATGTGTCCCAGGGTACATAGCTAGTAAGTGATGGATCAAAGACATAGCATTTGGTATATGCTTTTGGATGTGTGCTTGTATTGCTTTAAAGTAATATAATAGATATTGTTTATGAAACATCTGCCTAACACGCTGTGAAATAGGTATTATTACGCTCACTTTACAGATGAGGAAACTGAAGTTTAGAGGTAAATTAAATGATTAGGCCAAGACCTTACAGGTAGTAGAACGTAGAGATGGTATACAAACTTAAGTCTTTTTACGAATGTTGAGTTCTTTTACTGTGTGATATATGTAAGTTTTGTTTCCTCAGGTAGATTGTAAAATCCTAGGGGATAGCAGCTGTCTTCAGCCTCCTCAGATTTCAGAAGCAACAAGCAAACTGCTTGCCTCACTAGAGACATCGTATATATACTTTTTGAGTTTATTGTACAGAAATTTATAGGGATTAATCAATGGCTCTGTGAACTTAATGGAGGAAAAGTTACATCTTTATGGTGTCTAACCTCTAACAAATGTACTGAGCATTTCCTTCAATTATGAATATAGGCAATAACTCATAGTATTAGTAATACCTGTGACTTGTCACAGATAGAAGTTATAGATATTTCCCATCACATTACACCATGGCAAATATCATCATAACTTTGAAATGATAATTATTAGACCTGCCACTAGATCTTCTTATCTAATGTGTTAATAAAAAAGCATATATATTTCTATATCATAATTTTGTATCTTCATTATTTTTATAACTATATTTCAATACAGTTTGCTTACTCTATAATCTTATGTATTTTTCATTTTACATTTAAATCTGAGAGGGATTGGGTCACAGGGTTCACTGAATAGCCAAAGGGGGTTCACCACACAAAAAAGCCAAAGAGCCCATGCTGGAGTGAAATCTTTGATAGGGTTTAGTGTGGAAGTTGAGAGTTGGCCTTAGGAAGAAGCTTGGGTTTGGGTAAGGTTTTTAAGTAAAAAGAAAATTTAGTAAAGAAGGAGAGTTGTTGATTGGGAGGCCAGATTCAAGAGAGCAAGTTAAAGGTTTGGAAGGGAAAACCTCAGTTGGAGATTAGATCAGATGACTGAAAACATAAAGTTGAATGGGATGAGAGTATTGGTTATAGATGACTAGAAAGGTTTATATCTTGATTCATAGCCAAGATAACAGTTATATCAGGAAATAAAGTGATTTGAAGGCAGAAGGAGGTACTGATTCTTGGAAGGATTCTGGAGGAGTCCTGGTTTTTGGTAGAGGGATGACTTGGATTTCTATGAATTTTTTGGATTTTTGCAGCCTGGATGGGTGTGGGAGCTTCAGAGAAGCTTTGGCTGGATGAGTACCCTGTCTTCTGGGGGCGGGGGTAGGGGTGGGGTGGCGGGAAGGTGCCCTGATGGTGGCCTTCATGAGAGCATGCGGAAAGGTAACATTTTAAAATTATAGCTAGTGGGAACATACTATAAATATAAAGCACAGGAAGCTCAGCTCAGTGCTCTGTGATGACCTAGATGGGTGGGATGGGGGGCAGGGAGGGAGGTGCAAGAGGGAGGGGATATAGGCATACATACAGTGTATTCATTGTACAGCAGAAACTAACACAACATTGTAAAGCAGTTATACTCCAATAAAAAAATCAATTTAAAAAGGAAGAAAATTAATATAGTAATAAGAGCTAATAATAATAGCTAACATTTATTGAGCACTTACCATGTGCCAGTTACTGTGCTAAGTGCTTTGTGTACTTATTAATCTGTAAGTAGAATAGATGCACTCTTTCAGAGTGGTTAATCTTAAATTTTTAAGATCTTCCAGAAGCTGATCTTAAAAGTACTAGCATCTTCTAAGAGCTGTTTAGCTGTCTAGACAGTAGCTTCCCAAGTGATAATACCAAAGCATATTGAATGTACCACATATATGTTTAATTGTGTTGAGATGTTGACCCCCACCAATCATACAGTCGCCAAATCCTGCAGCCTAGTATGCTTGTGTACTAAATATCTTATCATTTTCTATGCATGCCATTTTATGGAAAACGTATGAGAGGTACTGATCCTGATCATGTCCTTGTCTGATTATCCCATTGGAAAAACTGATGGTTGAATTCTTAGGATACAAACTCTTAGCCTTGGGATGTGTATTAGGAGGTTCTAATCTTTTTTTTTGAGGTGAGAGCAAAGGCATCTTTCATTAGGGAGCGAAGAAGTTGTGCTTGGAGCTCCAATTCACATTTAGGTTTCTGATATATAATATGGAGTATGTCTAATATGCAGTATTAGTGTTGTTAATGCCATCAAAAATCATTGGTAAAATTTGAAATGGGTGTATATCATTCTGCTCATTCTGTATATATGCCTTCAGTCTGTTAAAAATTAACTATAGTCTTCATTCATCTAATATATGATCTTGTGAGATGACTGCCTACTTAACCTCCCTCCCACAATTGCTTCAAAGGATTTAATAAAAGAACGTTTTACTTTCTTGAATAGATATAGTAGGAAGATTTTTTTTCCTCCTAATTTTATTGAACTTGGACCTGGAACTTGAGAATGGATTTCAGATCACTAACTAATGTTATATGTCTCTGGTCACAGTTATAGACTGTGTTCTTGGGGCCTTGAGTTTCGAATCCTGTTTTATTCTGACTTTTATATTACTTAATGGTTATTGCAGTGATATAGTAGTACACTTTTTAAATGGTACTGCTACATGAAGAAATGAACACCAAAACAGTGATGATAATTCAGTATTCGTTGGTATAAACCTTTTTGAAATTTGTGTTGTTTGCACATATAAACTGAAGGCCATGTTAAACATCCTAGGAGTCCTGCATATATCCTAATGACTGGTTCCTGTTGCTTCTGTCTTGACTCACACAGCTTCCTTTAGAGGACAGAATAGAAAAGCATCTGACTTAGTACATCTTAGCTCTTCACTGAGTCTGATATGCTAGAAAAGAGCAGTGGACTTGGAAATAAGCAGACCTGATATCAGATATTGTGGATATTCTGTTTTGATACTTAATCAAAAATTGGCAAGTGTTAGTTTCTTAAAGGTAGTTGCATTACTCAGCCTGAACCATGTCAATGTTATATTAAAATCCATTGGCCTGTCTTGTACTTTGAATCAGTCTCTCATCCATGCATGGTTTTGTAAAATCATTCATTGGTCATTTAGAAAATATGATTCCCTAAGTTATGCACATCTTTCAAATGTTGGAACATTTCATTATATAATATTTTTTTAAAAATCACAACGTTATTATCACCACCAATCTCATCAGAAAAGTATTGGGTAGTAGCTAAGTTCACAATGGTGAATACTAATTTTCCAAAATTCTAATTTTTCCTCAAAAGTTTGAATTTTATCCTTGGCAAGAAAACTGTCATTTGTTATCCTTGAAATGACAGGTAAACATCTGTCAAATACCCAAATCTAAATAATCACAGGTTCTTTTTCTTGAGACAGCCTTCATGCTTTGGTATGCAGCAAAAGTACTTTATGTGTACTTTCCATTGTATCACACAATATTAAAGTGATGTGTACTTAATGATAGGAATTTATTAAAATTTATTCTTACACATCATCAGAGACATTCTTAAACGAATTTTGTTTTTTAACTGCAGGTGTGTGATGGTAAGGAACACAGTTCAATTCATACTGTATTAAGAAATACTGGGACACTTTCATGCTACTTTTTGTGGCACTACCAAGATGCCAACAGTTTTATTCAGCATTGCCTTTGCACCATGAGTGCAAATGTCAGTACAGTTTTAAAAAAAAAAGGCTATAAAGCCCTAGTCTTATTATGAAAAATAGTTTTGACCACATGGGACCTCCTAAAAGGGTTGTGGGGATCCCCAGGAGCCCATGGATCACAGGTTAAAAACCTCTACTCTGTCCTGTCATTGCTGGTATGAAATGTTATCTTCATCCTATGTTAAATTCCTCTGGATCCTTGAGAGATTTTTGGATACACTCTTCTGCTCCAGTGATTTTACTTCATTTTCCTTTGCTAATATCAAACTTACAATTACTGTATCTTTTAGTATGTTTATTTTCTTATTATTTGTATTATTTTAGGTATTTTGTGTTACTGATTTTTTTCAGATCAGCTTGTCTTGTTACATGTCAAGAAAAAAGTTGGATATATACCATTAGGATTATGAGACTACGTTAAATTTATAATTAATTTGAGGGGAATTAATATGTTTACAATTGAGTTTTCCCATCTAGGAACATATTAAGTAAAATTTTTATGTTTTAAAATTTTATTTTCTTGCATATTTTAAACTTTATTCTAAGATATTTTAAGCTTTTTTTGCTATTACAAAGGAGACTTTTCATTACATTTTCTAGTTGGGTTTTCTAGATACAGGGAAAGTTGATTTTCATGTTTACCTTGCATACAAACTTTAAAAGTTTTTCAGTTAAATCTCTTGAATCTTTTAGATAGATAAGCTATACCATCTTCAAGTGATAATATTTTTTCTTAATTTGCAAATTTTTTTCCTGATTGCATTAGCTAGGATCTCCCACATAGCGTTGAGTAGTACAGATATTGGGCCTCTTTGTCTTGTTCCTGACTTGAGTGTGAATACTTAATGTTTCTCCATTAGTTTTGGTTTTGGTTTTTTGGGGTTTTTTGAGGTTTTTGATACTTAAAAAAAAATCTAGGTAACAAAGTTTTCTTTTGCCTTCTATTCCTTATATATTGAGGTTTTTTTTTTTTAAGTAAATTTTATTCGTTTGCTCTTAGCATCTGTTGAAGTAATCAAATGTGTTTCTCTTTTACTTTGTTAACATAGTGAATTACATTAATGTTGCTCCTGTTGAACAAACCTTCCATTCCTGGAATGAACTCTATTTAGTTACAGTGAAAATCTGGTAGAATTTTTTTTCAGCCTTTTAAAAAAATTTATTATTTTTTAAAATTTTGAATATATACTCATAGCTGAGATTGTCCTTAAAACCTTTCTCTTCCCGTTTTGTTTTCCAGGTTATGCCACTTTGATAAGTAATTGAACTTTCAGTCTCTTTCTGTGCTGTGATACAGTTTAAATTATATAGTAATTACTTGTTTCCTGTGGGTTTGGTAAAATTCACCTGCTAAATCATCTAACCCTGGTCCTGTTTTTTGGGGGATAGATAAATGACCACTTTGAGTTTATCTTCAGTGTTTTTATAATTAAAGCAACCTCATGATGGCATGGATCATATGTTTCTTTTTGCTACTGTGGCCCCAGCACCCAATAGTGCAGTGCTGGGGATATAGAAAGTATTCAGTAAATTTGTTGAATGAATCCTAATAAGTTTGAATAGTGATTTTACTTTGCTAAAGTTTTATTTGAACTATGTTAATTTTTTTTCTTTTTCTTTCTTATTTTTCTCCTCAAAGTTCCACTCTTATCGTGGGGACCCAGCTTTAACTTTAGCATCTGGTATGTTGAACTTAGTGGCATTGATGATCCCGATGTAGTACAACCCTGTCTCAACTGGTATAGTAAGGTAGGACTGTATTTTAAAATCCTGATTTCATGCTTCAAGTGCCTATAATAAAGAGAGAATTGTGTCACTCTCTTCTCTTAATTGAGAATAATTTAAAATATTGAGAATAGTAATAATAGTTATAAAGATTAATCAACGTTTATTAAGCATTTACGTTTTGCCAGGTTCTAAGCTTCTTTATCACATATTTACTCATTGCCACTCTATGAGATAGGTACAGTTATTATCCATATTTTACGGGTGATGAAGTGAAACACAGGTTAAGTATTTTGCCTAAGGCCACACAGTTGTAAAGTGCTCAGGGCAGTATATCAACTCAGTCTGGCACCAGAGTCTGCTATTACATTATTATACCCATCTGTCTCTGAATTTTGTTTTTAACCTATATTGATAGAAACATTTAAACATAGTTTTTAGTGGGGTAGTTTTGGTTCCAGATTGCTTATATTATATATTCCTCCATTGTGTTTGTGTTGAGTAAAATAGGAATATTTACTTTTCCTTTTAACTAAAATTTGAAATAGTTTCTATAAATATTATGATCTTATTCTTATAAGGAGTATAAAGGTGATATTTAATAATTTTATTCATAGGTCATTTTATACAATAAATGCAGCCTGAAAAATGTGAATTTAAATGATTAAGTAATAGATCTTTGATTTTTTTGAACACCTTTAATGCTTCACCTTTGTTTCTGATGTATATCTATTTGACTCTTTTGGCTATGTTTTTGTGGGGGGAGGACTATTTCTTGTTAGGGGAATGATAAAGCTTTAGTCTAATCACTATTTCCTGATATCTTTATTTGCAGATAGGGCTGAATTGTCAACTCATAGGCGATTGGGAAGCAATATAGGTTCTTCCTAAGGTTTTTTTTATATAGAATTTCAGCCCTTTTCTGGTCAGCTTAATTGAGGAACTTTCTGTTTGATTTATTTTTGGCATTCGGTTATATTCAATTTAAAATAGATGCTGGCTTTTTGTATTTTCTATATGTTTTTTATATATTCTTGGATTACCTGTAATATTGTAAATTCTTTCAAGGTAGAGATGATATTTTTAAACATTAAAAATCACCTTTACAGTGTTATACACATAATAGTGCTTAGTATATCTTATAATCTTCTAAATTCTATTGGTTCTTCTTAAAAAAATGAGTAAGCTTTTCTGATACTTAAAAATTGTTTTTTCTCTTTAGTCTATGATGTGTATATGTGTCTTCTTTAATATACTCACAAATCTCTTGATATTGTAGGAAGCTGCAAATTTCACCTTTTTTCCCCAACACTGTGGACAGATTATATTTGAGAACTTAAAATTGTTCAATTATTGACTTGTCAAGTTCTCTCTACTTATTGTGAACCTCTAGAAATTAAAGTCTTCACCCTCTTTGAATTTCAATCCTTTTTCAAAGCATTATAATTTCGTTTCATAAATCCTCTCCTACTATGTATCTGTATGCAGCCTGATAGAAAATTTAAAATGTGGATGTGATTCATACTCCTAAAGTCAGCATGATAAAAAGGTATTATTGTTTAATATGGTTCCAGATAGTTAGGATAAATCTTTATTTAGAGGCTAAGCATAAGAAACTATTAATGTGAAGTTAGTTTGGATATAGAATCATTCTTTTGTTATTTGATGAAGGAAAATATTAGTTAACTAGAGTGTTTAAGGAAAAATGTTTTGATCACCTTTTATTAATAAAAAATCAGAGACTATAAAGTGATTAGTGTTTCAAGTCTTTAAATTTTCCTGCCTATTAAAGAGTAAGGCTTACAAGTAAATTGTATTTTTGCTTGGTTATTATGCACTGCTTCTGTGTCATCAGTTTATTTTATTAATTCTTATTTAGGAAATTGTAGAAATAATATATTCTTGAATTAAATTTTCTTTTAAATTCTTGATATGAGCTTGTTTTTTGGCATTCTTTGGCATCCTTTGGGGGGGGAGATTTAGTAAATTGAATATTTCTTTTGGGATTGTAATTAATTGAGATTTTTACTTTATAGCTGTTTAATCGATGAGGTAGCCTAGGTTTAGAAAAAAAATTATAAAACTTTAAATAGTCTCTTCCTGATGATTTTGAATCATAAAACCTGTTTGTGAATTTGAAATTTATGAACATTTGATAATATTTGTCATTCAAGTAATAACTTATTACTAAGAACCAAGAACAAAGAGCATAAACATTTATGTATATTATTTAATGGTTTCTGTGCATTCAGTACCAACATTGTTATCTGATTAGTAAAAGCCTTGGAAGTTATCATTTTTACCATCTGAAGTAAGCTTTGATAAATAGTTTTTCTGGTTCTTTTCTTGAAAGTTCAGGCTCTAGAACTAGGCCTGGTTTCATCTTTTAATATCTTTTATCTTCATGAAGTATATGCCTGATATATCGTATACGTTCATCTCTTTAATATCTTTCTGCTATATACTTTGTGACCTTTGGTGAGTTATTACGATTGACTAAGCTTCAGTTTTGCCATTTAATAGTGGACATAATAATGATACTAATGAATAGGGTTAGTACAGTGCTTAGTTATGCTTAGTATACTTAGTTAATGCTTAGCAAATGCTCACTTTACGTTAGTAATTATCACTTATTGTTTCCTACAGTAATAACTAACCAGATCTCTTCTTTTCATACCTTCTCTTGTGTTCCAGTAGTACCGTGAACAGGAAGCTATTCGCCTTTGCCTAAAACACTTCAGACAACATAACTATACAGAGGCCTTTGAATCACTGCAAAAGAAAACCAAGATTGCCCTGGAACATCCCATGTTAACAGATCTGCACGATAAATTGGTACTGAAGGGTGATTTTGATGCTTGTGAAGAATTGATTGAAAAAGCTGTAAATGGTATGTCATAAACATGTAAACTTAGATTGGTTATTAGGGTGATTTTAAGTATATACAAGAAGCAGGTGTTTTAAAAGAATATAGGTTTATGCCAGTTCTTAGTTTCTTTCTTTCTTTTTTCCCTCCCATCTCTTTACCCTGTAAAGGTGTTAGCTCTTTGAATTAAGGACTTATTTTATGTAAGACAGGTCCATAATGTAATAATGAGACTTGAAAAATAAGAAAGTAACATACTTGAACTCACATACCTAAATTTAAGTTGTCATCTTGGAAAACCATGCACTTACAAATGCTAACATTGATTAGTACTGAACCACTTAGAAAAAGTCTTTTAATGTTACCTTCAGTATCAGTGACCTATTCCTTTACATATTTTTGTTGGTAGCAGATTGTCATTTTTTTTAATAGTGTAATTTGAGGGTGAGGAGTGCTTGGATAAGTCAAAAAATTTTATTATTATACAGTTAATAATGAATGAGGAGATTTGTATTGGAAACATCGTCTGTGTGATGTGGATGCTACATAATTACTGATTTTCTTGGGTAGCCTGTATTCTGGCTCTGAAAGAAATGTGAATATTGGAACATAATATAATCTCCCAAAGTAATTGTTTTGGAGGATGACACCAATTGAATACTTAAGGTCTGGTATGTTTTGTTATTTAAAATAAGGAACTCTGTTGTTGCAGTATAGAGTAGCATCCTTTAAAAAAAACCTACACTTTCATAGTAACAAAGAACAGAGTAGGTGCTGTGGTATAATAAAAATTTGGTCTTTTCTCTTTCCTGGCACACAGCTCCTAAAACCCTTGGGATCTGCAGGGTGATGAGTGTCTTTTGTATGCTGAGATGACTGGTGGCTGGAGTCCCTAGATAGCTTCAGATCTCCAGAAAGATCAAACCATGTGATTAGAGGGCTGAAACTTTCAACCCCACCCCTGACCTCTGGGGAGAGGAGCAGGGTCAGAGATGGTGTTCAGTCACCTAAAACCATGTTTTAATCAATCATGCCTACATAATGGAACCTCTAAAAAAGCCCTAGAGCTTGACACACACACACACACACACACACACACACACACACACACACACACACACACACACACACACACACACACACACACACACACACACACACACACACACACACACACACACTGTACCTTGCCCTACATCTTTCTTCCATTTGGCTGTTTCAGACTTGTATTCTTTATAATAGACCAGTGATAGTAAGTAAAGTGCTTTCCTGAAATCTGTGGTTACTCTAGCATTATCGAACCTGAGTGGGGGTTGTGGGAACCCCCAATTTATAGCTGGTAGGTCAGAAGTACCAGTGGCTTGGGATTTGCGATTGGCATCTGAAGTGGGAATAGTCTTGTGGAACTGAGCCCTTTAACTTGTGAGATCTGACACTGACTCCAGGTAGATAGTGTCAGAATTGAATTGATTCTCGGTTGGATACCAAGTTGGAGTCAGAGAATTGGAGAAATGGTTGGTGTAAGGAGAAGACCCACACATTTGGAGTAAGAAGCATTGTGAGTGAAAACAACTTAATGCTGAATTATGAAACTTGTGGAATGATACAAAGTTGTATAGAAATTCTGTTCTTTTTACGGAAAGAAAGAAAGAATAATAGACTTTCTCAGTGCTCTGTTTTCGTATATTTTAGTCTTATCACTATCATTTATTATTATTAGTTACTCATTTATCAGATATTGGTTGAATATTTTACAGCTAAACAGAACCAGTACTGCCTTCTTTGAGTTTATAAATTTAAAGTTAACTCAAAATGAATTGCTTGCAGCTCCATTGTGTTATAATAACAAACATGCCTCTCAGCCTTGTATATTGTTACTATTTATTTAATTGATGATGATACTTGCAAATAAATGATTACTACGTTTGAAATAGAATATACTTTGGAGTATACCGAAATGGAACATATATAATAATCTCTTACCAAACCATCACAATGCCACTAATGAAAGTATGTGTGTGTGTGTGTGTGTGTGTGTGTGTATGTGTATGCCATTTCTGAGAATGAATTCTGTCTTTTTTAACTATAGGATGAAGAAGGCACAAGTAATTTTATGGTTTTTTTGTTTTGTTTTAAATCTTTAAGGCATTTAATATTTTGTTAAGGTAAAGTAAACAACAGAACCACCAGCAATTTTGTGTAATTAGTTAGCTAAAAACAGGTTTTAAAATTGTCTCTTTAGCAATATACTCATTTACGAGAAGCTGTTAGCATCATGTGCAACTCTGCTACTGCAGAGACTTAACTTATCCTTCTGACTCCAGGAAGAAACCAAGTTTAGGAAAATTGATAGTAACTATTCTTGAGACTTAACAGCCAAGTCATACTTTTTATACTCCTCACTGGCTTGGAACAGTGTTTAGTTAATAAACATTCCTTCCAGGGTTGTTCAGTTTGCTGCTGACTGCACTGATGATGATTTGTTGGACAAATAAGGAAGTAAACACTGCAAAGTTTTTTGGCTTCTGCTCTGTTAAAAACATAGAAGAGAAGGGTAAGAAGTTCCTGCCTGGTAAATAAGAAAGTCTAGGGAATCAGAAGCATCTTTCAAATTTCTTACAGTGGAGGAAACAAAAGCTACTTTTAGTGTATTTGGTATATTAGTATGCTCTTCTTCAAGTATGGTCTATATTTTAAGAAAGTGTTGGGCTATATTTATTTCTCTAATAGGCTTCCTATTTGCCTAGAAACATCCCTGCATTTACGTTTAATTTCATTAGAGGTGATGCCTGAACCAATCATTGCTACTTCCTCTTTGACAATGCCAGGGAAAAAAGGTAGAATCCAGTGATGATAGGCAAAAGTAATCACCCAGGAACAGAAAATACTTAAAGAAAACCTCCCTTTGCAGTGTTTATCTTATTTGTTAATGAAATAAAAGTTTGCTTTTGTGAGACAAGGGGGAGATAAAGTTTAAAGTTTAATAAAGTAGTCCTAAAGTTTAAACTTGAGGTCTTTATCTCTCTCCCTCCCTTCTTCCCTCTTCCCCTCCTCCTTTCTTTTTTCTCTACTCCACCCCACACTCCTGCCCACCCCCACCCCACCCTGTATCTCTTCCTTCCCATACCTTGGTTTATGCCATAATTGTTAATTATATGGTAGGCCTATTTCCCTCTCCTTAGAATTTTTTTGAGATCTCAAATCTTGTTGGAGTTACTTTTGTGGCAAGGTTTTTAACTACAAATTTAGTATTGTTAATAGATATCGGGCTATTTATATTCTGTTTCTTATTGAGGGAATATTGGTAGTTTGTGTCTTTTGAGGAATATGCCCATTTCATCTAAATTGATGAATTTACTGGCATAAAGTTGTTTATATTCCATTATTGTCCTTTATGTCATATCATGTTCTTGATATTGGTAATTTTTGTCTTTCATTTCTTGGTAGTCTGGCTAGAGATCTATCAGTTTTATTTTAAGAAAACAGCTCTTGGTTTCTTTGTTTTATCTTTTCTCTCTATTTCATTGATTTCTGTATCTTTTTTATTTCCTTTTTTCCACATACTTTGGTTTTAATTTGCTCTTCTTTTCCTAGCTTCTTAATATGAAAGCTGAAGCCATTAGAGATTCTTCTTTTCTAATGTAAGCATTTGGTGTTAAGAATTTCCCTTAAGCACTGCTTTAGTTGTATCTCACAAATTTTGCTATGTTGTTTTCATTTTCATTCAGTTTAAAATACAGTTGACCCTTAAACAGCGTGGGGGTTAGGGGCGCCAGCTCTCCCTCCCCTGTCCTACCGCTTGCACAGTTGAAAATCCACGTGTAACTGATTCCCCCAGAACTTAACTACTAGTAGCCTGCTGTTGACTGGAAGCCTTACCAATAACATGAACAGTCAATTAACACATATTTTATATGTTACATATATATACTGTATTCCGACAATAAAATAAAGAAAATGTTATTAAGAAAATCATAAGGAAGAGAAAACATTTACAGTGTGTACTATGTTTATTAATATCGTAAGTTTACATTATCTGTTTACAAGATAAATTGTCAGTACCTGTGTCAATATTGTCTTAGTGATACGAAACACTGTACGTATTATATGCATTACTAACACTAGACATCAAAGATGAAAGTTAATGTGGAAAAAGAAATTCATATTTGTTTACAGGTCTAACAATTCATGCATTGGTAATGAAGCAGCAGCAATATGATTGCTTTACGGTAGTCTAGTGTAATTGATACAATTGCTTCACAATAGCTTAGTCTTTATGCTAATGAATGAATTGTTATAAAATTTTTATGGCATACAGTATTAGTCATATTTATAATACAGTATTGGAAACATTGTTATATTTTCTAAAAACTATTTACCTCTGATGATAGGCTGATAGTTTCTCCAGTTGAGAGAGGGTGGGAGGGGGGCATACTGTACAGTAATGTAATTCTTTGAAAGCAAAGTTATAAAACAGTAGGAAAACCAACACATTATTAATTTTATATTAAATAGCACTCACCTTATGCCTGTATAAATATGGATAGAGCAGTACCTACATATTTTGTGCATTCATGACTTACCTCACCTTTTCTTAATTTTCTTGACATTTCTAGGCTGTGTGGTTCATCTGCGAGTTTTTTCAAACTGTTGAAAATCTCCAGAAAATTTTCTAATATATTTATTGGAAAAAACATCCACATATAGGTGGACATGTGCGGTTCCAACCTGTCTTGTTCAAGGGTCAGCTGTACTTAGGCATAATGACACATTTTTCTTTCCAACCCTGGTAACTTTTTCCCCCTTGTGTTTAATCTCTGCCAGGATCTTTAGAAAAAGATTGCCATGGCATAATTATAGTGGATAACCCTGTGTAGTTCATGATCCCAGAAGAAATGCTTTTTACATTTCATTGTTAAATATATTTTTGATCTGGGGTTTTGGGAGATTCTGTATCAGATTCCAAGATTCCTAAGAGTTTGTGTCATAAATGGATATTGGATTTTGCCACTTTTTCTCTATCT